CGCTCTAGTTACGCCTCTGTGCTCTGGCTCGCCTCATGATGCTTAGCATCTCCCTCAACCTCGTTCCCAGGGCTTTTCCCTTTTTGTCATTGGGAAGGCGGGAAAGGGCCCTGGCACCGGCCGGTCTTCTATGTATTCTGATTGGTCAATGACAAGTACATTATTATGCAAATAATGCAATCTTGGATTAATTTATTCAAACTTTGGGATAAATTAACATTTCATGCAAGGAGTGACCTAGCCCGCGTGCAGGCCCAAGGGAACTGATAGTGGGCCTGCAAGCAAGGCCCGGTATTTTGTAAAACGCCCCTTTTCATAACACGCCCCATTCGCGCGTCAATTGTCAAAAAAGAACCAATGACAGCAACCCAAATATTAACAAACAAACTCGCATTAAAATGTTGCGGGGTTTTCTCTGCTTTAATATTCAAAATAGAAACAATGTGTAAATGCCTGTGTTAAAATTCCAAAAAAGCAAGCAACGCAGTCAGTAATTGCCAAATTTACAAGTGCTCATTTTCAACTAAAATCGGAACAGGCAAATTAAGACGAATTTCAACAGAAAACCAGTCTCAAACTTCAAATCGTGAGAGAAGTCGTGCGACCACATCAACATTTATAATGTTGCTTCGCTGTCGCCATTGTTATAAATAAATTGTCTCACTTATCAGATCGTGTGTGCAATTCTTGTTGGCGGCGGAAAGTACGAAATTTATTTCAGTTATTTCATTTGGAGAGAACTCTACAAAAGAAGAGAGCGTTCAGAGTCCAGATCGTTTCGTTTCAAACGGCAATTTAATACCGTCTTCTGTTTTGCTCTCTCAGCGAAGCCTTGCAAATCGCAAAGTATTTTGAACAGGCTTACATGCAACTGCATCTCAACATCAACCAAAAGATCATTTTCTTGAGGAACATATAACGTATCAAGTCTGTTTGAAATTAATGAAACTCAAGTAAAGGTTACTATAGTCTCTATTTCTATTTTGTGCTATAGTTTTATACCTCAGTCGTATTAAATGTTGCTATTCCAACACCTCACGACAAGCAATCCTCATTGGCATAACGGCAAAAACATCTCTTCCTTCAAGTAAACAATAAACAGTCTGTTCTTGTTCCATTTGTAATCGAAAAAGTGATCAATTTTCGAATTTTAAGCTTATCGAGAGCCTTTGTCTATGCCTTTGTGATGAATCACTGACCTAATTATAGAATCCAACAGCAAACAGCCAATCAGAATGCCGCGTTCGTGGGCGAACGCGGAAAGTACAAAATACCGGGCCTTGCTTGCAGGCCATAGAAATAATAGATATTCTATGTTGCAGGCCCACTATCAGTTCCCTTGGGCCTGCACGCGGGCTAATGTCTATCCTCTGATATCATTCTCGTACCCAGAGCCCTTCTTACGCGCGTTCGACCGAGCACGACGAGGGGCTCTGGCCAAATCCATAACCGGATACCATAAAAACATGGTATCCTGTTTAACACTGCGCATGCTCAACGTCAAACGCGGATAAACCATTGAAGGGATAAACACTTCGGTTTTCTTGTTTGTTTCGTTTTGAAAGTTTTACTCCAGGAAAACCCCACAAAAGCGATAGGTTTCGCTAATTTTATTTATTTAAATCAATTAGTAGGTAAAACGTGATGTTTTCAATGTATGTTGATAAAATTTAGTATATATTTCCCTCTTAAACGTTGTCAAAGCAGTATAAATGGATACGGATACGAAGACGAGAGATTGTCTCACTGTTTTATATTCGATTTTAAGTCGCTGTTGTACAGATTTTTAGACTTTTTTGTGTTTTATTAAAAGTCAACAGCCATACATAAGACATACTATACTGTAAATCCTTTGAAAATTGTAAAAAATCGGTTTCTAGGAAGAAAATAGTCATCACAATTAACTTCATATAATATGAATGTAGCTGCTTCATTTCTTCAAATTTCCTGAGAATATTCATCCAGTATTAAACAGTAATTCATGTATATTTCGAGTTGATTTTGTATGAAAGTAGCAAAACGAGCTCGTGTTGATAAACAAAGTCTGAGGCTCTCCACTCCTTCAAAATTGTAAATCCCATTTCGCGGCGTTATAAAGCCATAATTAATTTAAGCTAGCGCAAGGCAAAGTTTGAAGACTCATATCTTCGCAATCACGCAATTAATCAAAAATCGCCACGAGGAAGTTGAGGAGAATTCTTTTAAGAACAACATATATCAATTTCATGGCAAAAAACAAAAAAACCGCTTGCAGAAAAGCTCTGAAGTAACGCCATACGTTTGTTAACAAATTTCATGTGATGAAGCGTTTTACGCATTCTGATTGGCTTAGGGCAAAAATGTAAACAAAAGCGCCGATTGGTCGAGAACGAAATTCCCCCTTGTTCCACCAAGTTATTTTTAGAACTGGTACACACGTCGTCAGTAATTACTCATTGTGATCTTCTTTAGCTACGTTGTTTGCGGCACTGCAAATTAATGATGGACGTAGCAAAACGTCAACAGCACGAGGGCACAATTCTTAGAATGTAAGCACGGAATAAAAGGCATTTTCTGTAGAGAATTTGCATTTTCCCATGCCGGGAATTGAACCCGGGCCATGGCGGTGAGAGCGCCAGATCCTAACCAGACCAAATGAGAATTCGATCGACCAACATTGCAACCACCACTAAATGTAAAAGGCTTCTCTATTCTGATATCGAACATTTTCAAGAAAATTCCTAAGGTTCGTCATGACCTTGAAGTGACTTGAACATCTAACCTTCTGATCTGGAGTCAGACGCGCTACCACTTGCGCCACAAGGCCATCGTTAAAAAGATTTTGCAGTTGAATATCCACGATGCAGTCGTCGAAACAAAAGTCATCGAATATCCTAACCACTAGACCAGATGGGACATTCATTCATTCGTACGTCTTTATTAAAATCTATCATAAATATTGGAGTTGCAAAAAACGTGCAACTTTACAGTACATATTAGGTAAAATTACATTATTTACAAATGTGTTAACGTTACAGCTAATATATACCGTAAAACCAAATTTTAAAAGTCATTAAAAGTTGTTTAAAACGATCAGTGCATATAAGATATAATAATTAGATTATTTAAAAATGTGTTAACGTTACTGTTAATATATACCGTATAAAAAAATTCTAAAATCATTTTAAAAAAAGAAACTTATTTAAAAATGATTGTTTAAAACGTTCTGTGCAAACTTTTGGCAACATAAATTGATCATCGCGTTCTTCTTCAGACATGTGTTGGAGGGATTCCAATTTCTTTCCATCTGGATGATGATAGCAATTTTTCACTAAATTCATGAAACGATCATGCGAGAGGAAAAATACCATGCGTTGGCGCGGAATTGAACCCCCGTCTCCCACGTGGCAGGCGAGAAATCTACCACTGAACCACCAACGCGATATACTGCACAGTCATTTCTTCGCAATTTTTACTATTAAGCTGTGGATTTAAACACCACCAAGTTATTTTTAGAACTGGTACACACGTCGTCAGTAATTACTCATTGTGATCTTCTTTAGCTACGTTGTTTGCGGCACTGCAATTTAAAATGATGGACGTAGCAAAACGTCAACAGCACGAGGGCACAATTCTTAGAATGTAAGCGCGGAATAAAATTTTCCCATGCCGGGAATTGAACCCGGGCCATGGCGGTGAGAGCGCCAGATCCTAACCACTAGACCACATAGGAATTCGATCGACCAACATTGCAACCACCACTAAATGTAAAAGGCTTCTCTATTCTGATATCGAACATTTTCAAGAAAATTCCTAAGGTTCGTCATGACCTTGAAGTGACTATTATTATTATTTTATTATTTAATCTTATTTAATCACGGTAGCCTTTCAGAAGTACATCTGTTTTTCAAAGGGCCGTGAGTTCATTAAAATATTTACATAATTGGAAAGAGAAAAAAAAAGAGAAAAAGAAAGGAAATCTAAAAGCGAGAAAAACAGGCCACTTACATAAACTATTTACATGGATGCAATTAATTACACTATAGATTAGGACCAATGGATTAGGACATACGTTTTATGACATTCTTAAAGGAGTTGACAGAGACATCTTCTATTAATGCTTGATCAATAATATGATTAGGTAGGTTATTCCAACTCATAGCTCCTCGATAGGGAAAGCTATTTTTTAGAAAATTTGTCTTTGGCTTAGGTAGGTAAATATTTCTATTGTTGCTACGTAATTGATAGTTGCCGTTTTCGTTCAAGTTAATTGTCTGCATTAGGTAGTCGGGCACTAGACCTTTAAGGGCCTTAAATATCATTACAAGGTCGCGCTCGTCTAAGTTGTCTTTTATAGGTCTCCAGTTTAAGGTTTCAAAAATGTTAGTTGATCGTATGTCGTAACTGGATCCTGTTATTACACGAGCAGCCCTTTTCTGTAACTTATATAATTTATTAATGTGATCAGCGCGAAAACCATGCCACACAGTTGAGCAGTAGGTAAAGTGAGGAAATACAAGTGAATTATACATTGTAATTAAAACATCTTGTGTAACAAAATCTCTAGCTCTTCTTAACATTCCGATACGTGCTGAAATTGTTTTACATTGTTTACTGTTATGTTCTTCCCATTTTAATTGTTCATCTATAATTATGCCTAAGGATTTTGTGCTTTCAACTCGTCTTATTTGCTCGCCTGCGATTGATATGTTTGTAGTATTTGTGCCAATAGAATTTATTTTTTGTCGTGAGCCAATAATCATGTATTCAGTTTTTTTACGGTTTAAA